TCTTTTTCTTGCTTTTTTCAGCCTTGACGACTCCCTTTTTTGCTGCATCAGGCTTTCCTTTAGCTCCATATGCAGCAATATCCTTTTCGTATTTGTCCTTCAGCTTTACAGCCTTCTTTTCATCAGGCTGCTTGTCATCCGCAGCAGTGTTACTCCACATCTCTCCCAGCTTCTCTGTAACATCGCCAATGGATAGGCCAGGATGTTCTCCTTTGATTTTGGGGTAATACTCAGAACAGAACAAGAAAAAGACCAAAGGAAGCCTCTTGGGTGCATTGAGATCCTTGAACTTCTTTTTTGTTCCCCCTTAGGAGGGATATAGGTTTTCATTTCTCTTTCATAACGGGCCTTGTCCGCCTTTGCCATATCTTCAAATTTTCCTTTCTCTTTAGCAGACATGGTCTTCCACCTCTCTGAGCACTTCTTAGAAAACTCTGACAGTTGACTGAAGCATCTGGGTGCTGCTTCTTGTGCTCCTCCCGACAAATTTGCACAAAGAATGCATATGATGAATTTTGTCTCTCGGCTTCTTAGGATCTCCTTTGCCCATGTTTAGTTATTTTTCCTCATCGAGGCACAGAGTCGCCCAGTGCCCTTCCGGCTCTCACTTCCCCCGGTGCTGTCTCTATGGAGCTCAATGTACTGCAATCAGAAGTTTTGAGCTTTACATGTGTTTACTCATTTAATCTTTACAACACTAAGAGGTAAGTAGTTAGTGTAATTTCCATTTCACAGATGAGGTGTAAAGGGGTTAGGTAATTGACCCATGACTGTGTAGCCAGTGACTGGTGGGATTTGAGCCTAGGTAGACTGACTCCAGAGTCGTATTACTCTCTGCTGTCCCCTGGTTGTACAAATTCAGGTGGGGGTCATCTGGCCACTGACAGCTGAGTGTGAGTCACTGTTGATGGGAAGATTTCTGTGTGTGAGTGATCACACTGATTAATGTGAGTTGTCAGAATCATAACTATAACATGCCTTTTAGTTCCAGCTGCTACACTGAAACTGCTCAAAGGGGAGGATACAGCAGACGGGATGGTTTGGGGGGTGTCAGTGAGCCTGATTTGAATGCTGACTTCTCCATTTCCTGACTATATGGCTTTGTTTAAATAATAATCTGTGTCCCAGTGTATTCGTCTGTCAAATGAGATGACCATACTTGGTGTATCAGGTTGTTGGGAGGACTAGATGACAATCCATGTGAGGGAATTAGCCCAGTGCCTAGCACTTCAGTGACTATTGACTATTCTAACTATCATTAAAGCTGCTGTTATAACAATTAGGAACATTGATTTCATTAGCTCAGGTCCATCTCTCCTCATCTTAACTAAGGTTGTTAAGTAATTGCTCTTATTTTTCCCTGTACATTGCTTAGTCAAAGTTGCAGATCATGGTCAAGATTGGGCCTAGGACAATATGGGAAAAATTAATTGCAATACAGTGTCTCTAGGCTCAGTGTTCAGTAGTCTTGAGGTCCTGAATAAGCTAACGAGAATGAGCAACTTTAGCTTAATTTTGCAGAATTTATGACGGTCTTGCTT